GAACATTGCAGCCAATCAAATGGTACAAAAGGTAAATCAGCCTTTTCTGATCACTTGACATGCATGTAGATAAGACATTACCTGAAGTTTCAATGTGTTCATTATGTTTGGCTAAAATCAATGAAACATGTATATTATGCCTGGTTGATGGTAAAAATATAGCTTTTGGTCTAAATATCATGTGGCTTTTCATGTTTTATTGGGTTTTTTTTATTGTACCATTTTATTACTTAAACTAGTATATAATTATATAAGAATTCAAAAATCTCCGATGAAATGCGATGTTCAACTAGATTAACAATTTGTCAAGTTGGAAATTCCACGAATTGCTCTTGTTGATCAAATAATTACATAAACGGATGGAGTTTACCAAAAACAACCCTAATCTAACTTGCATGAAAAATGGGGACACAATTATCACTAAATGAAAGTTTGTATTACGCATATGTTACTACCAGTACGGTTGGTCTGAGCTGAATTTAGTGAATTAGGGTTTGGACACAAGCTTTGTGTATTTTATTTGCTAGAAATAGATCATAGAATGAAATTAAGTAAAGCATAAGTCAATATAGCAAGTTGGGATCTGTTATAAATATATAGCCACTTACCCAGGCCCGGTCAGTCAGAGCATACAAAAAAATAGTATGTATTTAAAACAAAATAGTTCTGCGCAAAACTGTTTCTTTGTGAATAAGTAAAACATGTGGGTTATTTTGGTATAAATTGACGGCTTAATGGCTTAATCACTGTAGAACCCATTTTGAATAATAAAAAAAATATATGAAACTAAAATAGGACGGCATATTTGCCCTGTCGGTCAAATAAGGTGAACCCGTTTTTATACCACCAAACTTCTGAAAACACAAGCATTCTAATATGCAATTAAAGGTATATTGAATTTTACAGTAAAAGTCAGGATAAGGTATAGTTTTGACATGAAATGACAATCACTTTATCTGAACTTGAAACAAAAAAGCTATGAATAAAATTGAGAATGGAAATGGGGAATGTGTCAAAGAGACAACAATCCGACCATAGAGCAGACAACAGCCGAAGGCCACCAATGGGTCTTCAATGCAGCGAGAAACACCCGCACCCGGGGGCGTCCTTCAGCTGGCCCCTAATGCATGAAATGGCAGAATTTTTCATAGAGAGCATCCATAACTATGAATTAGCGGCTATGTTCCTAAAAACTAAAGTTTTAATTGTTCGTGTACCACTTAAGAAGAAGGAAATACTTACTCTTTCTTCAGGAAATGAGATCTTCCGAAAATAAGAGTTGGCTGCATTTATTTGTTATAATTATGTAATTTGTTTATTCAATAAAATTGTGAATGGAAATGAGGAATATGTCAAAGAGACAACAACCCGACCATTGAGCAAACAACAGCCGAAGGCCACCAATGGGTCACATTGTTTGTGTTTTTTGTCTAAATTTCTTTTTTTTCTTTTATTGTCTGTATTTCTTCGTATTTGATACACCCCAAAGGGTGACTGGGGAATAGAAGTATGGTCACCATTGATCTTCATCCGACCGGCAGTAAAACCCTTGCTAAAGTGGGGCGTCCGTTTCGCTGTGCGGGATGTACAAATTTGCGGCCACGTCCGGTCAGAATGGGGACGTTAAATCCGATGCCTCGTTTAAAGTCCGTAGGTGACCTGTTGCAAGGCTAAATTTCGGTCCTTATCCAATATACCCTCATTTCCCGTGGCAGTCTAAATTTCTCCGACCTTAATCCCGGACGCCTCTATTACAGAACCTACCTATTGTATTTATTGTCAATTTGTTCTTGTCCTGAATATGCATGAAATATTTGCCACTGGACATTAAGCAACCAACAATCAATCAATCAATCGTATTTGATACTTTTTTATTGTGCTAATGCTGAAGGATTTGGCTTAACACAATATCATTTGTTTAAATAGTTTACCAAATAGCAGTTTGAATTTATCTCCACAAACTGATCAATTGGTAAAATATTTTAGCTAATTGCTTCAGTGAGAGGTTGTTAGTATAAATTGAGTGCAGTGATATAAAAATGATACTTGCCATCCAACTTCAGCTATTTAATGTCTGTGTAATGAAATTAAAATAAAATAATCACCTACTATAAAAAAAATTTGAAATGCGAAATAAAGTACGAAGTTGAAGAGCATTGCAGAAACTAAATTCCGAAAGGTTTTGCCAAATACTGTTTATAAGTAATCTGATCCTCGGGGGTAGAACATCCTTAGTATTTTGAACGATTCAAATTTTTGCAACACAGTTGATTTATAGTTTTGATCATATGAATAATAATTCATGTCAATACAGACTACTGGGCTTGTGATAGATAGATAAATTACAGCGGAATCTGTATGATTCATACAACTTTGAATTTGATCCAATTTTGAACATCTCTTCTCAAAATTTTAATCATCTTAAAAATATATTTCATTGTTCTTTTAAGAACAGAGGATACTATTTTAATAATCATGGAAATGATATTAAGAACAAATTACTTATCAAATGTCAATTGGAAGGAAGTCGATAGTTGAGAGAACAAAATTTTGCTGATTATGATGTAAAGTATTTTCCTTTATTATTTGCAGATTAGAAATTGCTTTCAAAAAATTGTCCAAATTACAATAACGCAATAACTTGCTGTTTAGAAAACAAAGCTATAATGTATTGACCAGCAAAACAATCTTTTGAACTAATGATCTATAAAATTCATTTAGGAATGAAGTTTTCATGTCAAAGTTAGACCTTTTTACACCAGTCATTATATTATACTGTCACTATTTAGCTAGAATTTCATGACATAGACAATAATTAACTGAAAATGAATGGTAAGTATAACTGCACTAACTTCACACTAACAACCTATCGCTGAAGCAATTACTTGAATTATTTTACCAGTTGATAAGTTTCTGGAGATGAATTCAAACTGCAATTTGTTAAACTCAGAACAGCAAGTAGTTTTACTTATCATTTGATGTGATGTAAATTTAATTTGATGTGGACATCAACTTGTTTTTCAAAACGTCTTTCCTGACACGACTGTGGTGCAGTCGACATTGCTGTCGTTTGTTTGTGTAGTTAACTGTTAACTTAAAGAGAAAATGTTTACAAAATGAATAGCAAAACAGTGATAGATGAAGACAACAATAACGGTTAAGCTCTTTACCTGATTTTTGAAATAGCTGCTATGTTCAAAGTCGATATGTCAAATTAATTTTTTAAAAGTGACCATTACCATGATTACCTGACATGTCTGTTTTTTTGCTTGCCTTATGTTAAGTCGGAATTATGTTGGCGTTCCAAAAACGCACGTATTGAATTACGTACTAAGTAATATCAAGGAAAATAACATTCACCTAAAGACAGAAAACGCTTGAGAGTTAAGACATTTTCGAGTTTGTTGGTATCGTTGAACCACCAGTTTATATATGCAACACAATACCACTTTTCCTTCAAATTGTACAAAATATGTGTAGTTGTGATTTTGGTCGTCTTTCCTCCCATTAGCAAAAATCACTTTTGTAATATTGAGAAACCCGTTTGATAAATGAGAGTTTTTTTTTAAAGCGGCTATAAACTTAATCGACTGCTTTTGTCAATGCTCCAGCATCAAACGTGGTTACATGTTCTACAAAGAAATATAACCAGAACGAGTATTGTATATCGTAGAGTAGATAGATGTTTCGGGCGCAGCATTATTGTAAAGAGTCACTGTCATTGTTATGCTATTAAAGACCAAACCTGTATATTTCCTTAACATATAACAACATTCCTCACATAAGACCTGTTTTCATTTAAGTGATGTCTTATTACAATACCCTGTGTTATACAAGATTAAATTATTAATAAAGCTTGATATATTTTGATCTCTTTTAAATTGTATTAATGTGAAATTGAACACTTTTTGTCAAGCTTAATGAACTCACAGAAAATTTTAACATATGTGTGCTAGCACATGAGTTTTTTTCTTAACATTTTCCAGTGTAATTGATTGTAATTTTTTCAACAGTCAAGCATATCCTTAGGTGTGCACTAAACGTTTTTAAAGACTCTTTTGCATGTTTTATTGTGATGATTCGTAGCTGTCTCATTGACATCTATAATATGTCTGTTTTATTTTCATTTTTGAATATATCTTAAATGGATGAAAAATGCAACATATATTAAAAAACCACAAACTGTATTCAACAATTACTTTTATTTAAAAATAATACTGTGTGTCAAATGGGAATTGCGGTGTTATCCTGTTCATCGTGTGTATCCATTAGACGGCCTTCTTCGACAAATCATGTGACAATTAACAGTTGCACAGTATTTGTTGGTTGGACAATCTCTATCAGCAAGACAGTCTTTTTTACAACCAATTTTCCCATTTAATACTGACTGGGAAACGACCCCTGAACCAGAAGTACGTGCTGATCCACCGCGTCTTAAAGAAACTGTGTCTAATACATCAAGTCCACTTCTTCTAAGATTGGTTGCGTCAAGAATATCAGACCCTGTATGACCAGACATTGAAGGGCTACTACCTATAGTTTCCAAATGAGAATTGCTAGATAGGTCCAAATTTCTAGCCAGACCAGATGAACCAATTCTGCTGCTAGAGGATAAATGACCACCATTACTTAAAACTCTGGTAAAGTCAGATGATAAACTTCTAATAATTTTCCTTCTTATAGAGTCCGACAATCCAGATGCACCAATTATACTTCCAGATGAAATATCGACGCAGTAGCTGCTACAGCCATTGTGAATACATTTATGTCCTGAACGACATAATTTATCTCCTCCACACCCATAATGACAGTTAATGATACTGTCATCGTCAGATAAAGCACGTGAGATACCAGCTGAGGAGCCTCTAATGATTTCAGATACAGATGTCCTGCTTCCAACAGAACCCCCAGTCAATCTTGTACTGCCTATTCCATGAGATGTTCCAACTGCTCTTGATCCTGCTCGTCTATCTGCATCAATAACATCTAGGACAGAAAGGGATCCGACACCAAGACGCCCGTTTATGTCTCTTCCAACTGTGTTTTCGACCTGTAAAATCTTCTTCACTCCATGTATGTCTAATGCATGCTTTTCTGTTGGTGAGTAGGCTGTAAGATTAAATATCGAACTATTTTTAAAATCTTCACACATCAAGTAATACAAAATACAATACAGGTGAACTACTATCTACATATGAATATCAGGATATATGAAGTTAATGCCAATAAGACAACTATTCACCATATACTAAAGGATGATCTCAACACCTGCATGGACCTTACGGTTTCAGTCCTAATTAAAGGACATACCGCATAGTAAGATATAGATGACCTTACATGACCAAAAGTGAAACAATTCAAAATTCAAACGCATTCGTTTCAAACTTTTACATTATAATTCACAAAAATATGTAGATGTTGGTAATATTCTTTCTTATGTACTTCAATTATATTTTTTTTTAAATTTTCTGCAGTAGGATATTTATCTCAGCATCGGAAACACTTTCGTTAAAACAGCCTATCAATCTCGAAAAAAGCAAATCGAATATTTTTCTTACCGGCTACTATCATTGTGGTCACTGCCATCGATAAGAATATAATCTGGAATCTCATCATCTCTAAGAATACTGAAAGTAACAGGATAAACGTTATTTCTTTGATAATCATGATATACACATTGAATACGAATCAGTAAATAAAATATTACATGTTTTGACTATAGACCTGCTAAAAACCAATCTGCAGCGATACTTATACTTGTTTCGGGTATACAAAAATGACAGAATTTCCTTATTCTAAGCCAAATTGTAGGATTGATTGCGTTTGCTTTCGAGCAAAAGTTCAAAATCGAGATGTTGTGTAAAGATTATATCTAAAAAAGGCATTATCATGTTAATAAAAAACACATTACAGTCGTAAGAATTTTGAAATTAAAGATTTATAGACAGCTCTTCTAAAATTCATTCTGAAAATAGAACAACCACTAGGAAAAGACGGAAAGGGGGCCTTTATTTTGAGTTTTATTGTTTTTAACGGATATCTCTGAAAATTAAAACAGAAACAAACAAACTGACAGTGAAGATTTTGTCCTACAAAATAGCATAAACACTATCAATAATTGTAAGCCAGATGTGCGTTTCGCCAATTATGGTATCTTCCGTGATACTCAAGGTCAAACTATTTGAAAATATAAAAAATTAAAGACCTGATCATTCAATAGAAATAATATAGTATAGCAAATTCTAGACAAGGAATTGGAGCAATTAATCATGAACTATAAGGTTTCAATTGATAATACAATATGAGATTGGGTTGATATTACAAATCAGAAAATTATGACAGAAATTAATTTACAATTAAAAAAAAAGGGGTTGAAGCAAAATGTCGATCTCGAACTTGTTTCACTAAATTGATGTTCAATATCTCAAAAACATATTTCAGTCGGGTTTTCACTTTGTATAGATTTCAAAATAATTTGTGTCAATAGAATATACTTTGAAGCAATATTTTGTTTTCAATCTTGTCTCTTACTTTTCAATTACGGTAATGTGATACAATGCACAACTTCCAGTATATTATTCTTTATAAAGATAATCTAAATTGTTTCTTACTTTCAAAGAAGCAAATGTTTCATTAGAAGTATACAATTATCTGTACGCTTAAAATTTAATAAATCATAGTACTATAATGACTTTCTCCCTGCTATCTTTATCACTATTGCATTATTGGTTTGTTTTATTCATAATTGAAAGTTAGTTACCCATAAGCCTTACCTTTGTTTAAAGCTATTTGAAGGATTTCTTATGAATACTGTTTTACTGCTTCAAAATCGTTCTTTTATACCGTTTCAATTATTTTGTGTATGATTGACATGCACACAAGGAAATTTGCAACTGAACCGCAAATGACAAATTCGTTAATTATAGTTAAAAACTTTAAATGTCACGACGATGTCGTAGTAATACGAAATTGCGGATTATGCATATATAAGGATATATACTAAGGGTCAATAACACGTTTCGTTCCCTCCTACAACAAACATATTTTTCATGACATCATTAACTTTAATGTCACGACGTCATTTGTGTATGAAATGTGGATTATGCTTATATTTAAAATGTACTAAAGGTGAATAACACATTCTTTTTCAATCTACCACAGACATATTTGTCAAAATGTCATAATACATTTAGTTATAACGAAATATCGCTACTATTAATTATTATTATTAGCAATATTGTTAAATACGCACGTTATTATTTGTGTTATAAGTTAGAGACTTGTACTGTTATAATAAAAACTAGCCATACGCCTTATATTTTCTCATGGTATGGACGTTATCATTTTTATGTAGAATTGTTTTAAAATCACTGCTTAATATTCTATCAACTTGATCTCAAAATCTCAACGATTATTTCGACTCATTACGTATTTTATTTAAACACGTTTGAGCTTACGTTAATAAAAAGTTCGAGAACCATTCTAAGTAAGCACCAAACTGTTAAACAATAAAAACACTAGTAAACCGATTTTGGTATGAAATAGTCATTTTGATCTGAATAGCTCTCAAAAGACTGAACAATAAATTAATTTACCAAGTTTTTTTTTCTCAGTTTTTCAGTAAATTTTCTGACTTATCCACTGTGGTAAGTTCAGAACTGTTCAGTCATTTCGCTCCCAGTCAATTAAGATCTGTTTAGACTATATCCAGACTGTTCAGTAGCTTTTATTTACCAATACACAACACATCATACTGACTTGTCAGAAATGCTACTGAAAAGCACTGAATTGACTGCAAGAAAACTATCTGAACAGAACTGATTTAACCGCGGTGGAAAAGTCTGAAAATTGACTAAAAAGCTGAACATAACTGAATAATTTATTGTTCAGACTATTCAGATCCTGATGAAAATGACCGTCAGACTAATATTCATTTCTTTTGAAAAATTATTGGACTTCATGTATCTAACAGATCTTCTCTTTATGCTCCATCATAAAACGCAAATTGAAAAGGATTTGGCATCACTTGTGTAGGTCTATATTACGAACAATTCAAATGTTTTTATGTTTTCTTTAATTTACGTCTACATATGGCATTTGTCGTGATGATCATGGTAAGTACAAACTGTTGGCTAGGCTTTAATCGGGGATTTCGAGGAAAAAATGACGGGTTCGTAGTTACGGCAATTGGTACATAACTGACGTCATCTGAGAAGCAGATTGAAATAAAATTGACCGAACTTTCAAAATCAATAGTTTCTCAAATTACATTAAACGTGGTTTGAAATTATTTGATTTCTTTTCCAAAATCAGTCACCATCAGTTATAAGCAATGTAAAATTGTTTTGAACAAGGAAAAGAATTAAAGAAAAAAAATGTACTATAAATTCTAAAAAAAAAATAACACTATCAACTTGATCCGTCCGAAGTGCTTTTATTGATAAGCCTTTATCAGGATCGCTCAAAGCCAAAAATTTAAAAGCCTTATGGATAAATTACGAACCTGACTTATGAAGAGCTATAAGACCGAAGAGATATAAAAGTAATAGTCAAAACATTCTAAGGGAGTTGGAACCTTTGTTTCTTTAAAATTTCTAAATATATCAACGGGGAATGGTTTGTTATAAATCATGTCAATACCGAAGTATTGACTACTGAACTGATAATGCACTCCCGGACTGATATTCCAACAGCAGTGGTATTGACCAAAGTTTCACAAAATGAAAATAACGCTATCAATTTATTGCTTCAAAAGCGCTTTTCTATGTCATAAGTTCTATATAAACTTAGATTAAAAATAACAAATATATATTACACTGTTCATGTATATCTCTATTTATCGGTTGTCCCACTGTCGCTAGCACTCTGCTCAGCTCCTAATAAAATGCATACCACGGCTTTGTGGTGTCAAATACATTGAGCCGGCCTGAATAACTTTGAACCGGAAATATCAACGACGTCATACTGAATGAACAGACGTTGAACAGTTTTACCTCAAGTAATCTTTCCGGTTTGCTGGTGAAAACACTTGTATCTATCCGGGAAAATACACAAATACAACCCGATAAATCGATTATCTGGTTGTATGCATATTGATATGTAAAATATCAGCTGCTCGATATAATATGAGGCATTTTTGAACTCGTTCACTGCGCTCACTCGACAAAAAACTTCATACTGTGACTCTCAGCTGGTATTTTATAATATCAATATACAGACAACCTGATAATCGTTACATATCAATGCTGGTGAAAAGACTTTAAACCTGGCTTCATTAACATATAAAGTACTTCAAATTACGTATTAAACATCAAGCATTTAAATATGTTTATTTTCAGCCAAATGGTCTTATTTGCATTGATGAGAAAAGAACTTCAGAATTACAAGGATGGTATACACACAACTTTGGCATAAAATATTTACAGTTAATTCCACCTTGTCAATGTTACTTCAAAAGAAATTTCAAATACATATGTTGAAACGTTGGTAAAACAATGTAATCACGTAGCTGTTTTATTTTAATTCTTGGAAGTGTAATTGGAAAACAAAGTATAGGAGTTTCTTCATTTCATTTTAATTAAAATCAAAATAATTACCATCTCCCAATTTTTATTTTGCCTTTACCATTCATATGGGAAACAACTTCTCTTCGTGCAAAGTTGTTCTTATATTTATTTAAGCCAGACTACATACAGTAGCTTCACAGAAAAACGGAAAGAAGCTAGAGTTATCCTTTAACTTACGTTCCGTTGTATAAGTGATGTCCTTTAGCTAAATAATTCATTTCATAATTTTCTGAACTGTTTAATGTGCTTTTATCAATTTTTTTTTTGCCGTGATTTTGAAGGTTTCTTTTTATCGACTTATGAAATTTTGGTTTCCGTTTTTGGTAACTTGTTACTACTCAGTAAAAGGTAGATGACAGGAGAACGCAAATTGATATATTTTGATATGCATTTATATTTTTTTCATTTTAAATGTATCTATGTCGAATGTGTCTGAAAAAGTTAAAACATTGGAGTGTAATATGATTTGTAATTCTATGAATTTTGTTCCCTGGACAAATGCAGAATTTGATAAAACAGGGCTCCCTGAGTCTGCTTTCCTGGGCTGCTTAGGGATATTGTATGACAGAGGAAATTTAAAAATAACAATTTAAAAAAAAAAGAAAAAAAAAAAAAAAAGAAAAGCAAATGTTTTGTTTTTAAAGATAATAATCTTCAGAGTTTTGAAAGCCTACTGCAGTATTATGTTACAGATTTTATTGAAATGCCTTGTTATGTATGAAGGAGATATCACACACATTTATATTAACCCTTATACAATGATATCTTAAGTCATATCAAAAGATTCATATTACAATAAAATATGTCATGTTGCCACTCTTAACTTAAGTCACTTGATTGGTTGGTCTGGAATAGAAGACTGTTTCCATAATTTTCTGACAATTTTTAATTTTTGTGCATTCTTATTATTATCTCAAAATGATGTTGCTCCCGTCTAAAACATTCATTTAATTCATAACTACGATAATGTCAAATCGTTTTGTAATCTTCGAATAGTGATCAGCAACCATGCTCAATAAATATTTGTAAAACAACTTATATATCTTAATCGAATTAAAGGAGAGACATTTTATCCAGTTTCGTGTATTTCTTATGGGTAAACTTCGTCTGAAAGTCATTTGTTTCACATAACAAAATATTGATGCAAATACAATATTTGTATTCATTTTAAAATAATATCCTTCTATTGGCGGACAGGACTTATTATGTTTGTATAAACGTAGAAAAGATAATGAAATGCTTTTTGGGGAATATGAGAACATGACTGGACAGAAATTGGACATATTCCAATTGCTGTAACCCGACACAAATTTGTTTCATTTCAATCGATCTTCAAATTACATATAAAACCAACACCAAAAGGGTGAGTATAAGATACTCACATACTTTATGAAACCAGGTGATAAGAAAAATAGAGCATAACAAAAATACAGAACTCAAAGATAAATTTAGGAAAATGAAGTCTATAAAACTTTCAAAATCAAACGTGATCAAATAACAGAACGAAGAAAAAGCAACTGTTGTATGTCTGACTTAATACATGCATTTTCTGAAGAAAATGGTGGAATGAACTTGGTTTTATAGCTATCTTAACACCTGTTTAAGGTGAGGTATTAAGAGATCTTAAGAAATATTTTGAACTGGAATTTCAAACACTATAGTTCATTTTAGGGCAAATAAGGGTTTATCTTGGTTAAATTGTTATTTAAATGGTTCAAATTAATACATCTTTGATTCAAAGGTTGATGTAATTGGGAACAAAAGCAAAATTAAAAGGTACCCAGGACAAACAGGTTCAAAAGTCATGAACTGGTCTCTATTTGTTATCCTTAATTTCCCATACAAATTCCCCTTAACTTATGTGCTGAGTTATCTATTCGTCGGTGACTAATACGGTAAATCTTATTTACCAATATTATTAGTCATGCGATATCGGTTTGACCATTCATAGAATTTGAAACAGATATTGTAGGGAAAGCTGAGTTAAGTTCTCATATGAATTAAACCGTTTTAGAAGTAATTTATAGATAGCAGTTTGCTCAAATGTTGCGTTTGAAAAGACATAGCTTTAAGGAAAGCGGGGCTTTAGTTTGAAATATACTACACTGTGTAAATTTTATACAGACGCTTAAACAAAATATCGGATATATATCCGCTTTATACAAAAATGACGTAAAACCCCGAAAAAAATACCAGGATAGTGATTTTACACACCGGACGCGTGTTTCGTTTGTATGCCACTCAT